TGAGGATGTGTCCCCTCTGGGCAGGTGCAGCAAGTAGGGAAGAATCAGACTTTGTGACAGAGTAACTCAGATATTAAAAACAGTAGTAATGAACAATGACAGTATTACATGTTACAATTTGATCTCCTACTAGGATGTAAGAGCACTGCAATTTACTGACCTGTTTGGGTTTTTATTCACTTCTCCTTTGATGGCAACTGTCCGCCCAGGACGAAGTGCAGAATTAAGCCTTGCAATGTAAGGAACCACCTGAAAAGGCAACCGTGCTCAGAGTTATAGCCTGTGGCTTTAAACATACATTCTGATGACCCCCATCAGTCACCTCCCTGCTGATAGTTTCTGCTTTTGTATTTTTTAAGTAATCTGAACATGTCTACTTGTGTCTTTTTCAAATTGTCCATGTCTTTTAATAAATTATCTTCACCCACCACTGGGATGATCTAGTTATGGGTGGGAAGGCAAATAGGCATGTTCATTCCAGGATCTTTTATTTAGTATTTATACTTAATTTTTAAAATCTTTTGGATAACAAATGGGTCTTTAAAATACTCCAGACAGATGGTACATGTAGCTTCATCCAGAAGACTTTCCCTAGGGTTTTCTGCAGCCATGGCTACCACTGGACAGTGCAACAGAGTAAGTTTCACTTTCCTGAGCTCAGAAATATGTCCTGTCTGCAGCAGCAACTGGGTGTTTCCCTTCCTGGAACTGACTTGTGCTGTTTACTGAGCTGGAGCAAGCCTATTGTTAACATTACAGCCCTGGAGTTGTGAAAAATGTACCAATAGGCCTCTGATTCTGCAATCAGCCCCCTGTCCTGGTGTGGACAGTCCCTGAGGCTTCACATGGGCATCATCATCTGCCTGAGATGATGAGCCTGCAGGTACAAGGTGTGCGTGTCAAAGGAGTGATATTAAATTCACAGGCTAAAAACTTATCTAAGCTGGAATCAGTGTTTCAAAGGCTTCTCTGGCTCAATTTAAAGGGACTTTAGTGCCAGCAGTGTTGCCAACTCTCATGATTTTATCACGAGTCTCGTGATATTTGACATGACTATTAAAACCCCAGCTTCTGGAAGCACGTGATTAGGTGAGAATCTTGCAACTCCTCTCCATGCAGAGCCCTTACGCCTACAGCCCTCATTATGTACAGGAACTCCTTAATATACTATTATTCCTCCAGCAGCCTGGGCCCTGGACATGTTCCAGGCACAGGCCATTGTTGCTGATATCAGAATTAAGGATTTGTGCAAGTAAGATGAATGTACGGAGTGTAGTGTGTACAATTCTTTCAGTAGAAGGTACTTCTCTGGGATGGGCACCAGCCCATTGACAATGATTGATTTCAGGAGTGCGTAGCAGGGTATTCCCTTTAAATCCATATTTCCTTGCTTTTAAGGGTTGGAGCTGTGGTGGGAATCTGCACTTGAGCAAGCTTATCTGCCTTTTAGATAAGTTTTTGTGCACAGGATTAAAATTTCACCCATTAATTCAGGCCATGTCTACACTAGCGAGCTTACAGTAAGATCGCTTGTGTAGCTGCTCTATGCTGACGGGAGAGCGCTCTCCCATCGACATATTAAAATCACCTCAACGAATGGCAGTAGCTATATCAGTGGGGGAAGCTCTCCTGCCAACATAGCGTTGTGCACTCTGCCACTTATGCCGCTGAAACTGAATTTTTTGGTTCAGTGGCAGTTCAATAAAAAACAAAATCAGTTTTGGGTCAAACCAAATTTTTCAGAATTTTCAGTGATTTGCAAAAGTCCATTCTGGATCTGTTCCACAGCAGGGGTTTAAACCTGGGTCTACCCCATCCCAGGTGAGTGCCCTTACCCACTGGGCTAAATGTTAAAGCGGGGGGAGGGGAGACACATACTCCTCTGGCCGTTTTAAGAATGGCCAAAACTATGTGTGTCAAATTTGCAAATAGTTTCAGGTCAGGACTTGATTACAGCCTATAAGCACCTACATGGGGAACAATATTGAATAATGGGCTCTTCGATTTAGCAGAGAAAGATATAACATGATTAAAATGGCTGGAAGTTGAAGCTAAACCAAGTCAGATGTTTTAATATTTGCAATTTACATATATAAAACAATACTTACAAGTTGTGAACCATCAGGCACTTCTCCCTACCAAAAAAAAAAAAAAAGTTAACTAGAACATCAAAGAATGGGAAGATCACATAACCACAGTATATGCATACGTACATTTTCTGAGTTTATCTTTGTTATTCCTAAAGATGATGGCTGAGAGCCTTGTAAAGACTGCAGAGAAAAGATATTTAGAGATCACTGCTCACATATACTAGAATTCTGATTCTAAACTAAGTTTGTTAGAACTGTACACAAAAACGTGTGGCTTTAGACTACTATGGAAATCCTGTGACTATGGTTAAAAGTTATTCAAAAGACTGTCTAGTGCAGAGGTGGGCAAACTACGGCCCGCAGGACCTTCCTGCCCAGCCCCTGAGCTCCTGGCCCAGGAGGCTAGCCCCCGGCCCCTCCCCCGCAGCCTCAGCTCGCTCCGCCACCGGCACAATGCTCTGGGCAGTGGGGCTGTGAGTTCCTGGGGCAGCGCAGCTGCAGAGCCCCGCCTGATCCGGTGCTCTGTGCTGCGCGGTGGCATAACAGGCTCCAGCCGGGCGGCACGGCTGCCTGTCCTGGTGCTCTGGGCGGCGCGGCTGTAGCGCCGCCAGCCACCGGTGCTCCAGGCTGTGCGGAAACGGGACAGGGAGCAGGGGATAGAGGGCAGGGGAGTTTGGGGTGGTGGTCAGGGGACAGGGGTGTGGATAGGGCTCGGGGCAGTCAGAGGGTGGGCAACAGGGGGGTTGAATGGGGGCAGGAGTCCCCGGGGGGCAGTCAGGAATGAGAGGGGGGGTTGGATGGGGGGGCAGGGGGCAGGCAGGGGCAGGGGTTCCGGTGGTAGTTAGGGAGAAGGGGTCCCGGGGGGGGAGAGGGCACTCAGGAATGAGAGGAGGGGTTGGATGGGGGGGCAGGGGGCAGGCAGGGGCAGGGGTTCCGGT